AGGGATGAGGGAGCGCTCATACCCAGATAGAAGCCGCCAGGGATGAGGGAGCGCTCATACCCAGACAGAAGCCGCCAGGGATGAGGGAGCACTCATACCCAGATAGAAGCCGCCAGGGATGAGGGAGCTCATACCCTGCTTGAAGTGGGCTGCTCCTCAGTGTCTCACTCTATACTTCTCTACCTCAAATCTCCTGGGGCAAGGCCCACTGACCTGCTCCACAACCTGTGCATTGTTGGGGTACAAACTAAGGGAATGCAGCTGGGCATGGTGGTACAAGCCTTTGATACCAGCACTCAGGAGGCAGAGGCAGGCAGATCTCTGTGAGTTCAAAGCTAGCCTGATCAGGCATCCAGGGTGACAGTGAGACTAAAATACAAGAGTATGGGTGTGGGGCGGGGGGGCGGGGAGTCCCCAAGATGGATACCGCAGAATGGGGATTCAGTAAGGAGAGAGCGAGCATCTGTACCTCTTTGGGACAATGGAGGCACAGCGACAGGTCCACCGTACTCAAGGGGGCTGGGAGATGGGTGGGCTGTAGTTGGTGATACCAGGGACCACAAGAAAATCCAAGGGATCCAAGGAGGCCATCCAGCTCCGCCTGCAGCATCTGAGGCCGACACTGTGCCTGCAGAGAGCCTGAGGAGGAGGGGTGATGGGGCAGGATGCTGGGGGCATTGGGGGGCAGAGGGTGCATTCATCCTGCTGTAGAAAGCCTGTCTCCAAATCTCTAGGCTTGTCTGGGACTCCAGACCCCAGGTCACACAGCTGGTTCTCACAGCCCTCCCTCTTTCCTGTTCAGACATCAGTAGTGATGGTTTCCCCTGCAAACTTCTGTCGTCTCAGCGACCAGGCGGACTTCACAGTGGAGACCTGGCTCTGCACCTCCCGCAGATTCCCTGGATCTGACCGGGCCATCGGGGTTAGGTAGCATAAGCTTTGGATAGCCCGCCCCCTTCACCCTCTCCTCCAGCGTCGGAGACTGTCCCCAGTTCTCCTGTCTTTAGGCTTTTGGAGATTGGGTGTAAATAGTCCAGGGTGGCCCGGAACTCAAGTAGACCAAGCTGGTTTCACAGTTGTGGCAATCCTGGCTCTGCCAACCAGATCCTGAGATTACCGGAATTCACCACCATGGCTGGCTCCTCCCTCTTTTCATTTCTATTTCATGAGGGGGAGGGAGTTATAGGGGAGCTAACCTCTGCAATCACCTATTTCCAACACTGACTTCCTGTGAGTTTTAAGCTTTCCTTCCCAATTTAAAAAAAAAAAAATTTTTTTTTTTTTTGAGACAGGTTTTCTCTGTGTAGTTTTGGTGCCTGTCCTGGAACTCACTCTGTAGACCAGGCTGCCCTTAAGCTGGCAGAGATCCACCTGCCTCTGTCACCTGAGTGCTGGAATTAAAGGCGTGTGGCACCGCACCCAGCACATCTTTAGTTTTATGCGTTGGGTGTTTTGCCTGCACAAGTCTGTGTGCACCACGTGTTGCTGGTGACTGCATCCAACCCCCAGAAACTAGAGTTACAGATGGTGGTAAGCCACCGTGTGGATGCTGGGACAACCAAACTCAGGTCCTCTGCAAGAGTAGCCGGTGCTCGTAACCGATGAGGCCCTTCTCCACGCCACCCCCCTTTCTTATACACCCTTGATAAACACACACACAGAGGACTGTAGGTTTCGAAGAAGAAGTAAGCAAATTTGTTGTTGGTAGGAGGGCGGGGAGGGGGCGTGTCCATCACCTGCAGGATGGGCAGTTAGGGTCGATAGAAAAGGCAGTAGTGGGCACAGGTCCTGTGCGGTACAATATAGAAGAATCTGATATAGATACTTTGTATAAAAGCCACTTGTCCTTGTCTGTCCTCTTGCTGTCCGGCTGGGAGGCATAGGGAGATGAAGCTGGCAGGGCGAGCCGGGACACAGGGACACCCTGTGGTCCTCACCCTCGGGCAGCCCCCTTACGAAGTCATTTTGGGTCCTTAGTGGGGGCATAGCAGAGCTCTAACGGCCTGGATACCTTCCAGAACTTCTCATTCACAAGCTCCAGGGTCAGCGAGCCATTCAGCGTCTAGAGGAGAGGAGAGAGGCAGGGGGATGACAGAAAGTTGGAAAAGGAAATGGAGAAGAGACAAGGGAGGAGGAAAGGGGGAAGGGGGAAAAATGGGGGTGTGACCGACCCAGAGCCCACAGCGAGGGACGGAGCAGGGCTGAGACGGTGGTCACCCTGGCCCGCTGCCTGCCCCGACCACCACCAGCAGCCGCTCACCGTGAATGCTCCGCCCCCGGGTGCAATGTAGATGGTGTACTGCTTCTCGCTGACACCTTCCAGGCTGGGCAGGGCTGGTTCCTCGGGACCTTCGCCCCCTCCAGCAACCCCGCTCTCCCCACCCCCCCCATCGGGTCCGCCTGTGTCTGAGGCACCCCCACCGGGCCCTCCAGGCTCTATGGTTTCCCGCTGCTGCCTCCGCTCCAGGGCAATGCGCAGGGCCAAGTATTTGGAGAGATGGTCCACGGTGGCATTCCCAGTGGTCTTCACGTACCTGGAGGGAGGACGCGGAGGGGGGCGGGGTCAGGACAGCAGAGTCCTCGAACGGACAACTTCCTCCAACAGGCCTGGCTGGAGATACGGGTACCCCAGGCTGGCCTCCGGCTTGCTATGTAGCTGAAGATGACCTTCAGCTTTCTCAGCCCCCTGCCTCTGGGATTACTGGTGTACACCACCACCCTTGCTTTATGTGGTGCTGGGTGAGAAACTCAGGGTCTCATGCCTGCTTGACAAGATCGCCAACTGAACTGCACCCCCAGGCCTGAATCAGCCCCCTTCTGATGCAGATTCCTGAACTTTGGTTTCTAGGCGGTCTAGCAGCAAAAGCCAGGGCTCCTCACCTAGTCTGGCAGTATTCTCCCTTCTCCACAAGCAGGGGATGGGGCCGGAACACAAGCTCGATCTCTCCACCTGGCTCTGGAGGACTGGGAGCCCCCGGAGGGCTTGGGGGGCCCAGGGTTCCCCCTCCCAGGGTGCCGCCCCGGTCACCAGAGTCTTCAGAGCCAGCACCCCCGCAAACCCCGCCCGCAGCGCCGCCCCCTGCCCCTACACTGCTGCCCCCAGCACCCCCTCCACGGGGTCGCTTGGGAGCAGGGCCTGGAGCAGAGTCGGGAGCGGAGTCGGAGCTTACGTCCTCTCCATCCCCTTCCCCCTCCCCAGGTTCTCCTTCCCCCCCACTCATCGTGGTGGTCTGGTCGGATCCAGGCATCGGCCGCCTGACACGCTGGGCCCTGTAGAAACAAACAGTCCGGGTTAGAAGGAGGATTCAGGCCCTCAGGGGTTAAACTTCATGCGGCTCTGAGGCCTTGGAAATCCCAATGGTGATGCTGTGAGTCTCCAACAACCCACCAAGCACAGTGTTCATCTCTATGTGACGACTGAAGAAACAGAGAGAGGGCCAGGGTCAGGTCCCCTCACTTGTGAGAACACAGGCGCTCGCCCCGAATCAGCCCAACGACAGCTGCATGGCCAACACCTGGCGGCTGAAGAGTGCAGACCGCCAGGCCCCTACTCCAGATCGCATCACAGTTCACATCAGAGTCAAACCCCACAGGTACTGCATCTCCAGACCTCCACACCTGTGCATGGCCTGCATCCGAAGCCCCTCCTCGATACTGGAGCTCAGCGCCTGCTGGTTGTGCAGGCGGCTGAGGCGGATGAGCACTCGGTCTTGATGGGCCTCGTACTCCTCCCGGCTAGGGTAGATTTTGGAGATCAGGGCATCGAAGTTGGGGTCTGGCCGTAGGGACCGCTTGGATACCAGCTTTTTCCGGCAGGTAGGGCACTCCTTGTTCCTGGGATGGGAGGAAGGAAGCCCTGTGGGGTCAGTTCCCGTCGCT